ATGGTGAAGGAGTGTGCAATGGTAACAAAACATTTTTGTTGTGACAAAATGGCTTCCTAGTTATGAATGTAAAAGAGCCCAGGCATGAAAACCGCCCCCAGAGTCCTTCACCAAGGCAAGACTGCCTCTGGGTCTACCCTGTCATTGATAAAGTCATGTTTCTCCTGTGATGCACAAAAGATTTTGCCTCTTAAATCCAAGTTGAGCCACAACATGAGATAAATGATGCAAATCTTAAAAGAAAAACTAAAACGAGGTATGGTCAGCACTGTGGTAGAACAACAAAGCACAAATGAGATCACAGGCAAAAGACCTATGAGAGTGACATCAGCAAGATGACAGAATGAGAGACAGAGAATCTTTCCCCATCCCAGAGTAAGCAGACAGCTATCCATGAAAAAAAATCCCACAGGAAATGGGAATAAGAGTACCATGAAGACAAACAGTAATACAGAATACCAAATAAGGACAACTGCATAGAAAGGATGACAGGAAACTGGGTGAGCAAACACATTTAAAGAAATCTAAGTTCAAAAAAACGGTTAATAACTAACTAAGGAAGTAAATAAAGGAAGGAAGGAATGAAGGGTCAGTCCTAGCTGGTTTGCTCAGTGGATAGAGTGTCAGCGTGCGGACTGAAAGGTCCAAGGTTCTATTCCACTCAAGGGCACATGCCCAGTTTGTTGTGGGTTCAGTCCCTGTAGGGGGCATGCAGGAGGGAGCTGATCAGTGACACTTTGTCATCATTAATGTTTCTCTCTCTCTCTCCCCCCCTTCCTCTCAGAAATTAATAAAAATGTATTTTTTTAAAAAGCGGGTCAGCCCTAGCCAGTTGGGCTTAGTGGATTGAGCATCTGCTTGTGAACTGAAGGGTCGTTTGATTCAGGTCAAGGGCACATGACCGAGTTGCAGGCTCGGTTCCACCTTGGGGGGCATGCACAATGCAGCGAATTGATGAATCTCTCTCATCACTGATGTTTCTATCTCTCTCCCTCTTTCTTGCTGTCTGAAATCAATAAAAATATATTGTAAATAAAAATTAAAAAGAGAGATACGCTCCTTAGATCACTCCTTTCTGCTGGTGAACGACGCGGAGTAAGCGTCGTTGGAATTTCCCCTGTTGCAGTCATCATGTCTAAGTCTGAGTCTCCCAGAGCCGGAGCAGCTGCGGAAGCTCTTTATCGGAGGTTTGAGCTTTGAAACAACCGATGAGAATCTGAGGAGCCATTTTGAGCCATGGGGAATGCTCACGGACTGTGTGGTGATGACAGATCCAAACACCAATCGCTCCAGAGGCTTTGGGTTTGTCACCTATGCCACTGAGGAGGAGGTGGACGCAGCCACGAACGCAGGGCCACACAAGGTGGACGGAAGAGTGATGGAACCAAAGAGCGCTGTCTCGAGAGAAGATTCTCAAAGACCTGGTGCCCACTTAACTGTGAAAAAGATTTTTGTCGGTGGTATTAAATAAGACACTGAAGAACATCCTCTAAGAGATTATTTTGAAAAGTGTGGGAAAATAGAAGTGATTGAAATCATGACTGACCGAGACAGTGGCAAAAAGAAAGGCATTGCTTTTGTAACCTTTGACGACCATGACTCTGTAGACAAGATTGTCATTCAGAAACACCATACTGTGAATGGCCACAACTGTGAAGTAAGGAAAGCTCTATCTAAGCAAGAGATGGCTAGTGCTTCGTCCAGCCAAAGAGGTCGAAGTGGTTCTGGAAACTTCGGAGGTGGTCATGGAGGTGGTTTTGGTGGAAACGACAACATTGGTCGTGGAGGAAAATTCAGTGGTCGAGGTGGCTTTGGTGGCAGCCGTGGTGGTGGTGGGATGGTGGCAGTGGGGATGGCTATAATGGATTTGGTAATTATGGTGGTTATGGAGGAGGTGGCCCTGGTTACTCTGGAGGAAGCAGAGGCTATGGAAGTGGTGGACAGGGTTATGGAAACCAGGGCAGTGCCTACAGCTATAACAACGGAGGAGGAGGCTGAGGAGGCTTTGGCGGTGGTAGTGGAAGCAATTTTGGAGGTGGTGGAAGCTACAATGATTTTGGTCATTACAACCATCAATCTTCAAATGTTGGGCCTATGAAAGGAGGAAACTTTGGAGGCAGAAGCTCTGGCCCTTATGGTGGTGGAGGTCAATACTTTGCCAAACCACGAAACCAAGGTGGCTATGGCGGTTCCAGCAGCAGCAGTAGCTATGGCAGTGGCAGAAGGTTTTAATCACTGCCAGGAAACAAAGCTTAGCAGGAGAGGAGAGCCAGCGAAGTGACAGGGAAGCTACAGGTTACAACAGATTTGTGAACTTAGCCAAGCACAGTGGTGGCAGGGCCTAGCTGCCACAAAGAAGACGTGTGTTAGACAATACTCATGTGAATGGGCAAAAAAACTCGAGGACTGTATTTGTGACTAATTGTATAACAGGTTATTTTAGTGTCTGCTCTGTGGAAAGTGTCAAGCATTCCAACCAAGGGTTTTAATGTAAATTATTTTTTTTTTTTGCACCCTTGCTGTTGATTGCTAAATGTGATAGTCTGATCCTGACGCTGAATAAATGTCTTTATTAAAATAAATAAATAAAATAAAAATAAAGGGTCAGCGATACCACTATCAGCCACGATACTTCTGTTCTCATTGATCCCAGTGGCCTGTTATCAAAAAAAAACCCAGAAAGTTTTGTTTCCAAACCACACAATGCCCTGGCCAGTGTGATTCAGTTGGTTGGAGCAGCATCCTGTGTATTGAAGGGTGGAGGGTTATATTCCTGATTAGGGCACATATCAGAATGTGGCTTCCATACCCGGTTTTCAACTGTGCAGATGGCAGCCAATTGATGTTTCTCCCTCATCTCTCTCCCCCCCATTTCCCTTCCTCTCTCTGTAAAAGGAATAATAAAGAAAGACATAAGAATTTCAGGGTAGCCAAAAACAAGAGATCTCAAAAAGTCTAGAGGCAAAGTAAATAACAAGACAATGTACCAAAGCTTATGTATAAATTTCAGAAAATGTAGCCCTGGCAAACCTGAGGTGGTATTACAGCCCGTTGCACAAGCCAGAGCAACTTTTCTGCCTAAGTCAGCTTAGTATAGACCTCGTTGAATCAGCCTGTTATCATCCTAACATCTCTCTTAACAGTCTATCAGTCTGCTCATCCTTATAACTACCCTTGGCTGATTTTGTCTGACTCATTGCATGCTTGCTTGTTTCCTTGCTTTGGAAGGCTATCCAAGATGGATACATAATACTTTAGGAAGGAAATTGCTTTAAAACAAAAAATGCAAAGAGATTGGACAGAGTGGGGAACAGGAGTGTCCAGGCTACACAACTCAAGAATAAATGACTGAGAAATTCTGGGTGAAGTGTCAGTCTGACTTTGTGATCAAGTGATGGAGTTATGGGAATCATATAAAAGGGAAGGACAGACACTGATCCGTTAAAGAGGTACTTCAAAGGCTCCTTGACTTGCATATTTAAAGTTCCTAAGATTGTGGCTTTTTCCTCCTTTTGGCTGTATAGCAAACTGTTTTCATCCACAGCTGTGCCTTACTGTTCCATTAAAACTGTATTCTCCGATCCATCAATAATAAATTCTTGTAGTTAAAACAAAAAACAAAAACAAACAAACAAAAAAAAAAAATGTAGCCCTAACTGGTTTGGTTCAGTGGATAGAGCATTGGCTTGAGGACTGAAGGGTCCCATGGTCAATTGCGGTCAAGGGCGTGTACGTGGTGGCGGGCACATCCCCAGTAGGGAGTGTGCAGGAGGCAGCTCAATCAATGTTTCTCTATCATCTATGTTTCTCTCTATCCCTCTCCCTCCCTTCCTTTGTGTAAAAAATCAATAAAATATATTTTAAAAAAGAAAATGTAATTCTAAGGAGAAATTTTAAGAGAGATAAATGCCTACATGTCACAAAAGATCTCAAAGAACCCTAACATGGCACCTCAGGAAACTAGAAACACAAAAGGAAAGTAAACCAAAGGTTTCAAAGGAAAGAAACCACAAATATTAGAACAAACATAAATAAAGGAGAGACAAGACAATAGAAAGGAATACCTAAAAGGTATTTAAAAAAAAAAAAAGATATAAAAATGTGCAGGTCGTTAGCTACACTAAAGCAAAAATAAACAGAAACCAAGCCTCAAATAAGTAAAAAAAGAAATAAAAGATAAGACATTACACCTGTCACTATGAACCACAATGCATCATAAGAGATGTGGATGTTAGGAGACGACATGACCCTCCAAAGAGAAATTTCTCAAGATCCCACTATGAGCTCCTGAAATTAACAAACAAGTTCAGAATTCTGTCCAGGTGGCTCAGTCGTTGAGTGTGTGGCCCTGATGCCCCAAGGTTGTGGGTTTGATCCCCCATCAGGGCACATGTAGG